TTTTAAAAAAATAATAATAAATAAAGTAGGGATATAGTTTGAAAAATAGTTATAAAAACTATCTAATGCCTTGTATTATTTTAAAATAAGTAGTGCTTTTAGAAAATGTATTATGTTGTGGTCTTCAATGAGTACTTTAACTATTTATTTTCATTCAATGGCATTTAATGAGAGCTAAAAGAGATGATCTGTAATACAAATTTAATTACATGATATTTATAGACGTGATCAAAAGAATTATTCTCTCTTTACCTTATAAATATGACCAACAAATAGTATATGTAGTTAACAATATGATTTCTCTTAATAAATTTTCATTTTCAAATATATAATTTCATCAAATATTCAAATAAGTTCACACAGCTAGCTTATATGTTATAGCGAGGAGAAGTTGTTTGGCATTGCTATTTTTAGATGTTTAGGAACATTTCAAATATCTTGTGTTGATTGCTATACATACACTATTCACATTTCCGATTTAAGTATATGAAGGGCATACATATTCCCATGTTACATGTTAAATTTGAAAGGAAAATATAAATTTCGCAACCTTCTTAATTGTTCTATTAAATTATATATAAGAAAATCAATAAATCTCAATCATTATATCAAATTTTAAAATAAAAAAATGATATCGTTCCTTGAAAATTTTGGATGACTTAATTTAACTATTAGTGGTAAAATCTTTTTTTTTTTAAAAAAAATTCCTTGTCAATAGCGGTTAATGTAAATACAGGTCATTACAAACATCTTCTTTGCCAAAAAAGAAAGAAAAAAAAGCATCTTACTCCTTAAAATTAGAGTTTTGCACTATAATTTTTTTTTAGACATTTGACACGAATTCACTTTCTTGTTTTGAAAAAAAAAACAAAAACAAAAAAGGGAAAAATCTCTAATCTCGTAAAGGTTAAAGAGAGCGCCGATAGATAATTTTTAGATATGCAGGTTTGTATGATGATGCCTTGCCATTTGCAGTTTTATTTATCTATTTATTTATTGGCAATGTTGTTTAATTTTTATTATTTATTCGTCCCTACCAAATGATTAGGGGTGATTGTTTGAAAGTAATAAAAGCTATTAATAACATTATTAAAATAAGAGCGTAAATAATCACACATTTAGACATGCATGTATATTTATGATTATGTCTTGCTGCATGTGATTCTACCTATTATTTCTTTTGAATTCAATAGAAAGTACATTCTATGGCTCACTTCCACATTAATTTAGTCAATAAGTGCAAGACAAAGTAATGATGAAGTTTACTATTATATTCCATCTATCCAAATGATAAGATATTTTAAATAAAATTCATATAACAGTAAACGTTATTAAATATACTTAATAATTTATCTTTTTAAAACAAAAATATAAACATTCAAAAATATCATCATTTAATATATTAAAAAGAAAAAAAATGAAAATTAATTACAGAAAGAGCAGAGGTAATATTATAATTAGTAAATTTAGTAAAACCTTAATTTGGTCAAAGTATTTTATATTTTGAGATAAAAAAATTTCTTCAAAAGTACCATATAATTTGTGACGGAGGGAGTTTTATTTTTCTTTATTGTTAAAAAAAAGCGTCATTCATTAGGGAAAAAAGAAGTTTAAGTGATAATAACAAATATGTCTATATTAATTATAAGGAGCTATGAATATGTGTGGTGTTAGAAACAGTTGTCCTCCTAGTTTTATGATCGTAATATTTATATGGATTTGAGAAATTAGTTTCACTTTATCAGACTCAAAAATAATATTTTTGTTAGATTCATAAACAAAATATAGATTTAGAAGACAATTGCAATAAAATTCTAATAGTTATTCATAACAATGCTTAGATTTGTATGTATTTGGTTACATAATCGGCTCATAGTGCCATTCTGAGCATGATAGAAAAAATGGTTGATGTTACACGTATTAATTTGTATAAACTTTATTTGATTTTAAGGAATTGCATCAATGTTTGCATGTAAAATTAACATTTTGTAAGGCGCAGAAATTAAATAAGTAGGAAAAAAAGCTAAATCATAGACCCAGTGTTGATGATGACTATAAAGTTAATAAATTCTGAAAAAAAAAAATCGAATTCAATTCGAAGTCTTCATACATCCCACAATAATAAATTGCAAGATTCTATATATCATTTAATAGTTATTTACTACTCCCTTCATTTAAAAATGTAAGGTATTTTTTGAGAAGTTGAATGTTAAAAAATATAAAATATTTTTAGCCTTTCGAGGTGTAATCATTATTTTTTTAAAAAGTACTCCTATTGATAATGACTTTATATTTATTGTAGAATGTTTAATAGAGATAAATATAAAAAGATGGGGTTAATTTGAAAGTAGATCATTTCTTTATTAGGACAAAATTTAATTAAAAATGCCTTATATTTTTTTAATAGAGGGAGTATATTTTTATTCTTTTTGGTTAAATTTTCCAAGCGAAACACAATGCATAATTTCTCAATATATAATAACATTAATATGTACCCATCACTATGACAACGATATGAAATGACAGAGTTTTTAATGAATAATTAAGCAAAAACACAAGACTTTCCAACAACTAATAATAATTTTTTTTTAAAAAAAAAGCAGGTGATCGATTGCAATTAAAAACGTCGTAAGTGTAGCTCTTGGGTGTGAAACAGTTGGACTCTAGAGGATAAAAATATATCCTCTGATAATATTCGATAAGGTAATTAATAAAATTTAAGGCACGCGGAAATACCAAATATGTCATGCTGATAGCAAGAGGCACCTTCTAATTCCAAGGTGGTGAATATTATATATACATATATAAAAGTAAAATCTGGTTCTTCTTCTGTGTTTGGCAATACAGACATAGATATAAGAGTACCAGAGATAGATACGCAGCCCTGCAAGCCCAATATTTATATATAATCAACAGTCATCACGCGAGAGATACAACAGAGAGATCCAAACATGAACCAAAATTAACAATACAAGTATATGCTTGTGCGTGCATAAGATCCTTAAACAAATACAACCCCCCCCCCCCAACCCAAACTTTCTCTTAAACAATACAAGGGTTAAACTTAGTGCAGGAGGGTTGGTGATATATATATATATATAGAGAGAGAGAGAGAGAGAGAGAGTGTAGAATAGTAAGCATTTTGAAGTCTTGCAGGAGTTAAACATGCATTCTATTTTTGGGCAAAAAAAAAAAATGCATTCTATGGTATTTGTACTAGAAAACATCCCATGTGCTGTATTCTCTAAATGATAAGATTCTTATCATGCACGCAAATGGGTTTAACTGTTTAACTATTCATGACTGATATTGGCTGAAATTAAAACAAACTATTCTGGATTGATGAATTATGAAGCTTATATAACAGATCTGATATATGTTCTCAGTATTAATTAATTACTTATGTTAGATATTGCTTCTTGTTTTAAATCATGCATGAACATATTAATTAAATCGTTTCTGATCTCATATTCGAGGACAATATGATAAGAGTAAAAGAAATTTAATATCCCTCAAATAAAGTTGATGGTTTGAATATTATAAATGGAAAAATAATACTTAAAGAGCTGGCCTTATTTACACTTGACAATACTTGAATTTAGATTAGTTAATATAGTTTTAGATGGAAAATTAAAAAAAAGGTTTAATGACAGAACTGTATGATTTCGATTCAAGTATCATAACGTGAAATAATAAGGTATCCGTTTGGTTGTTAAGAAAAAGAAAGAAGGAAAAGAATAGATTCAAGAACTAAAGAATAATAAAATGATCACAATATTGAAAGAGATAAGTCAATCATATTTATTAAAAAAAAAGAAAGAAAAAGAGAAAAAAGGTAGGCAAGTAGTTTAATTTATAAGGTTGAGAGTTACGATTTACAAAATTTGTAAAAGGCATAGTAATTCTAACATTTGTAGTATTAGCTAGGTTTTATAATGGAAAAGATAATACCAAGATAAAAATGCAATCAACTTATCATGTTAAAGTAGACACTTTATTTTTAACTTTATTTCTTTAATACATTCCATTCCCATCATTTTCAACTACTCCTCAGATTATATATCATTGGATGCCCATTTTTGTGCAGTTTCATTTATATATAAGGCAGCCTGAATTTTTATCTGAACTGAACAGCAGGTGTTCCCTTATAGTAGCCAATACAAAATAACTACGATCCAATAACTTTATAATATTCGCTTTTGGCAAGTGCTAGCTTTAGTTTCTATTTTCTGCACATATCAATTTGCATCTGCAGGCTTCAGCCTTGTATCAATGCACATTTTTCGCCTTGCAAAAAAGGTTGCCTGATGAATAAAAGAATCCCCCGAAGTCGTTTTCAGTCTCACCTCTAAATTTCAAACCAATGACCCTGACCAAATGTGAGCCTCTCAATAAATTGTCAAATTGTTCAAATTGGCTCACTAAAAAAAGCATTAGTTTATTAGGAGGATAGTGTCTTAGATCACAGGTTTTCCCACTAAGTTTTAATAATGGTCGCTTCCACATATGCAAAGAGGGTTCATCCTACAATTTATAAATGAATAAGGTTCGTTGAATCTTTTTTAAGCTCTGGCTAATTGTTTAAACTAGCTCATCTTTCTTCACTCACAGCTAATAATAATTAACCACATTCACTGCACTGAAGAACTGAATTTAATATTAGTCTCCAAGTTGGTACTCTAGTATCAAGTAATTGCATAAATATACATTGCTTTCCACTAGCCGTCCTGATGCAGACGAATCAAGTGGCATCAATCATGATCTTTAAAAAGTACAAGACGATATATGATCCCTAACTATTATTATCTCGAAGGGATGTTCTTGTTTGGATAATTTAAAACGTACCTCAGCTTTTGTCCTTCCATCAACTGTGCAGCACGCCTATACCGGGTCAGCAGGTGAAGAAACCGGATACAATGTAGCCCACAGCCCTCAAAATTGTTGACAGCATAAAAGGAAATACCATTAAATAAAAAGAACTCCAAATTAGTCCATCAGCATTATTTGAATTCACCTCTGAATAGAATTTTGTGCCAGAAAAGGCAATTAGTTCTATTAAATTTTACAGTATAAGTGTCAAAAAAAAATTCAGGATCTGAACTCTGCCAGTGCTATCTCTGTTATTCAACAGAAACAGGACCTCCCCAAGACAACAACCAATGATCGCTACAAATACAATTCCTACTAGGATGAACTAAAGCTCGTTTGTTTGAACGGTAAGAAGCCATGAAACTAGGATAGTTGCGTTACTTTTACTTGCACACAAAATTTTTACCAACACGTATGATCTCTAAACTCTAGTGGAGCTGCTGGATTAAAAATCCTAGTGAGGTTTTGGCACGAAGCCATCAACAGCAAAGTTCCGAGTGGCAGCAGGAATAGCTAAACGAATCCCGTCAAGTTCTGGTTTAGCAATCACTTGACAACCCAGACGCGATCTGCAAGGCAACTCAGAAAATTAGAGTTGGAATAATCCAAAAAATTAGTATCCAGCTTCTAATTGGTGAAGAAAGAACCCACGTTTCAGTTAGTCCAAAAGCTAGATCCAACATGTCATTTTCTTCATCAGTTGGGTCTTCTAATTTATTATAGTACCCTACATCCTGTAAAAAGTTCAAAAGTTGGACTTCTGTAAATGGGAAGCAGAAACTTGGGACAGCAGCGAAATCATCACAAAAATCACTACTTAATATTTATCATCCACAATGTACCATCACTATAACATGACATGTTGAACAGGCAAGTGAGCCCTCACATGCTCCTGCAAGAACATCGAGTTGTATATTAACTACTTTTGAATAAAAAGATAACTTGTCAATTCAAAAATTGGCCCAGAATAGAGGGAACGGAAATGGATGTATTATAATAAAAGCCCCTCGTTTTAATTAAAATCAGCTACCCGAGAAGGATCAGGCTGTCCATGTGTGGCCCAAAACAGGCTTGGGCATGAGGGATAAAGAAAGAAAGAAAGAATTTCAAAATTACCAAATGTTAAAAGAGCAGTAACAAGAAGAAGCACATTTCATGATAGAAGTAAAGCAATGATTTCAGGGCTCTAGAAACCAAACTTTAAAAGAGAGCACTAGCAACAAGATAAAGTTTCAAAGCGGAAGAATATCACAATGACAGTAAAATTATTGCCTTCAAGTTCAATGTCATTTTCATGAGCAGCTTCTAGCATGGACATTCCAATAGGGACTTTAATTTGCTTCTCCTCACCATCCTTATCAACAAAAGTTACTGATATCCTGCACAGAATTGCATGAGTTAGGGGCAGAAGAATTGTGCAGCTGTGACACATGCTCCAATAGGACCTCATTTTGTATTGGTCAAAATGTACTGTTACTTGATGTAAATGGCCAAAGAGGAATGTCGGAATTTTCAGAGAAATTTTTATGGCTACCCTTTTTGAAAGAAGATTATGCACAACTAGTGATCCCCTAAGTTGAATATGACGAGAGATAGCAAGCTTTACTAGGTTAATGTGTTATCTTGCGTGTTCCATCTCAATTCTGCTGTTGTGGTCTAATCTTTTTCTTCTCTTATTCCAACAGAACAAACAGTGCAGTTTTCCGCCTTGATACACTACATTAAGAACATTCCTTCCTTCCTTTTAAACAATGGTTACATCAAATCGTTTATCACTCATCATCAAAACACATGTTCATTTGAGAAGTCACAGTACCAGAGTGTAAGCTGTCCTAAGGGCACATAATAAGGAATGATGATAAAGAAGATTAACCACTATTAATAAATAGCTGGATTCTTGCTATCTGGAAAAGACGTGAAATGGAAGATATTCAAGGAATCATGAGCCACAGCATCCACCGATCCCTGCTCAAGGATTGCTATTACTTTTTGTCTCTGGTTTAAATCATCAAAATCTTGAGATTAACCAAAATCCTATTCAGATATATCATCCATTGCCAACAAGAAGAATTCTAGATTGGTAGAACAACAAAGGCATGGGGCACTAGAATTCTCAGTACATTTAAGTTCTCTGAACTGTTCAAATTTTAATCATTAAGAGAAAAAAGAAGGGGTTAAATTTCAAGCTCTTCTTTGGGCCAAAAAAAATAAAAATTCAAGCTCTTCCTATTTAGCTTTTTCTCTAACCTTCCCACTCAATTGAGTCAGAGAACTTGTTGCCATTATCACCAGTTAGTGATTCCTCATACCATAACAATACTAACATGCCACCCTACACCAGGCAACAGAATTGCCAATGAATTTAACCATGGCAATGATATGAATCATTAGCTCTGCAAAGTTATGCCAAATTATATTGGGAACGAAGAGTATTTTATAAGCAAGTTCAAGACTCTATTCTGCTGGACCTTACCAGCTAACAGATATTGGATCCATACACCCAGTCCCATGTGTATCTTCAGAAAATATATATACATATATATATTCTCTCAAAATAAACACTCCACATGGCCGTTGATATTTCATTTTTCTTTTTGAAGATCAAGTCTAGAGGATTACAAGAAATCTTGGGGCTATTTGAAACTGTTTTTATATTGTTTTGAGAATTGGTGTTTTATAAAACATGTTTTGAGAACAAAAAATTTAATTAAAAAAGATGTTTTTTTTTTATTCTCTCTTATTCTCCAAAACCATAATCCCAGAACACCTTAAAGTTGTTTTCATTTTTTTATTCTCCAGAACAATTTTTTTTTTGTTTTCTAAAATACTTTTTGAAAGCACGTTACCCAACAGATTTTTTTATACTTTTATTGTGGAAAACAAAAAACTGTTCCAAGAACAGGTTGCCAAATAGGCCACTTAAATCTGATCTGAGAACAGAACTGAAATCAGGGATTAATGTACAGTCAGTGACAGTGTGACAGTTTATATCTCTAGTGATGGCCTGATCAAGTCCACCTCGTGTATGCCAAATGTTTCAGAGGAGTTTACTCCACACAGCAGCTTTTCCAGAAGGTGCTACTAAATTTAACATTAACGGTTAAGATAGCATATATAATGCATTCAACACCATAATATACCATTACTAAACTTCAGATTGAAGTTTATTTACAATAGAATATTTTATTTACAATAGAATATCATCTTCCAGTTCTCTCGTCTCAAAATAAAACTTACGTTTTCTGCTCACCCCCTTCCTCAGGAGTATTGCTAGTGGCCATAGTTGAAAGGTGCTGAGGTTTTTGAAACATGCCTCCCAGACACAATTCAGCAGATGACCCCTGTTCAAAGAAAAAGAAAAGAAAAATATTTAATGTAGAGGCATTGCTTTAAAAAATAAATAACCAAATAAAGCTATTTCTTCAATATTCAAATATAAAAGCGTAAGCAGACAAAACCCAATCACCAATTTGATAACTAATCGCATAATTCTATATGATTAAACACAGTTTCACAACTATACTCTCCCAATAAAAACTGTAACTACATTGATAGCAAAGTTTCAGCTGTCTGGGCTAATCTCTCCATCTAAGTCTTTCTGTTTTTTGCTTAGGAGAAAAACCCAAAACTCGATGAAAAAATTTAGTATTAATCATATCCCTCCCATCAGGACCCACATCTGACACCATCAAACAGGCTGCCGATACAACACAATGCTAGGTTCATATGCATTGCCAATTCATTAGCATTGAAATTAGCTTTCCATGTTTCCTATCTGGGGTTTAACCAGAAACTAGTTCAACTTTTTGGCCATCATGGAGGACTGGCCGCTTCCCATGTTCCCACATTAGAATCCCCTCCAACGTTGGTGAAAACAGGTGATCCCGATATCAAGTTCCCCAGTTCCACCGATTGATAATCTCAAAAGTTCCATCCGTTATCATTTAATCTTTTACGAAATGTATACTTAGACATAGCTTTCAGAAGAGTGCATCGATATATTTAAAATTCTAACTTTGCTGATCCGTTCAAAAATAACTAACCGGAGGATGCAAATGCTGCCCATTAATCCTTCGATTATATCCTGCCCTATAATTGGATATAGACTTTCCTGACAAAGGAAACGAAACGAAGCTGAAATAATGAGTTGAACTATCGATTCAATGCAATTATAGCTTCTCACCGTGCATCTCAGGAAAAGGGATAACTGAAGCAAACTAGGGGCTAACAGAAACTAAAGGGAAAAATAGCAAAGACGATCTTCCCCTCTCCAAATAGTAAATTATGTATATGTACCTCTGGACAACTCTTTGACCATCCAAGCTCCTACTCTGGCTAGCCTTGAATTTAACATGGCAGGGATTAGGAAACTCTCTGAACCCTAATTTGCGTGTGAATTTGTATGAAAATGGTCTCCAGAAAAATTCGAAGCTGAGGCGAAGCCGGCGCTGAAAGTGCGGCACGCCTCCGGCGAACTAAGATATATAATAATGAAAGAGTTTGTGCGATAGCTGAAGGCTGAGAATGGCGGTGACCTACAGGAATTGAGCTTCTGAGGTTCTTACCCATCTTCCTTTTTCCACAACTCCCATTTCGGCCTCATGCATGATCCGACTTGACCCGGTTCCATTTTTTGAAAACAAAATTTCCACAGCCTGGTCTATTTTATAAATTTTAAGATTGTTTTGTTTTAAATTAAAATATTTAAATTATTTTTAAAAAATAAAAAAGAGGTTTCAAAAATAATAAAGTTAAGAGATAAAAATATTTTAAAAATTTTAAAAAAATATTAGGTATTCTTACTTTTTAGCTGAAAAGTGCAATTTCATCCTGTTACTAATATTTATTAATTTTAATCATTAAATATTACTTTTGACCAAAAGGACCCCTTCTGTTTCCTAATAATCAATGAGTCAAATCCTTCATTTTTAATCCCTTGCTCGCCCAGATCCTTCCTCTTTCGTGTTGATTTTTGGGCTCACGAGCAGAAAGAAAGGGATCTTTGGGTTCCTTTTCTTGCCCCTCATGATCCCTCCAATTCCTTTCCTCATTTGAAATCAAGCATCCTCATCTTCGCCTCCCATCGCTTATTGTGGTTACTTGATTTTACCACCGCTATTGGAAGCTTTACCTTCGTGATTCCCTTGGGCACAATCTCCTACATTTTCACACACACACACACACACAAAAAAAAAAAAAATTCTCTCAAATCCATGTTTGCTTCCCCATGGATGCGTTTCTAGCATTCTTCATTGTCAGATGGTAAAGTTACTAACTTGGTTTTGACATTCAGATTAGTGGTGACGATTGTCATGAGAGGTAAGGGGGCTAGTGATTTATTCTTGTCAAAATTTTGGAAAAGCTAGCAGACAAGAGCTTGGGAATTGCAGAGTGAGCTAAGTTCAAGTTCTAAATTTTAAAGGGTGTTTTCTTCTTTAGTTGCATATGCTTTTCAGTTTTTATTCCAATTTTTTTAATTTTTATACCTTTCATCGGACATTAATACAAGGTCATAGCTTAAAAGATGAATAGGTTTGTGAAATTCAAGTACGGTGAAGGTCAATTTATCTGTTCAATTTTAATATATACATGAAAGCTCAAATTTTAATGCAGGGATTGAGGAAATATCATGACATAAAACACTAAAAGGACTATAATTCATGCAATAGAATCTTCTTCTTGCGTAAGGGGAAATCATGTCGTCACTTGCAATAATAAGATCTATGGAGGAATGGGAAATGGCTAAGCCGATGGAAGGAAAGAGTCTTGACCTTATTGTGGAAGGTAACTAGGTAATAGTACTAACTATTGGATCGGAGAGAATGAGAGTCATGGGAAGAAGGATTGCATGTGTTCCGTGCAATGAATTTTTTTTTAATTTTTTTGAAAAATACCATGTGATTGCCACTTGATGAAGAAAAAGTCAAAGTAATGGTTGATAAATGATAGGATAAAATTGTTTTTTTTTAAAAAAAAACTTTCGAGACGACATTGCTCCAACTAAAAAGTGAGAGTATCTAGTGTTTTTTAAAACTTTTAGGACATTTTTGTCCCATAATTCAAAATAATATTATACGGTCTATTTATGTTTTGCTTTTTAGTTGGGAGTTATATTTAAAATTTCATTTACTTTTATTCTTTATATTTTTATTATATTAATATTAATGAAGTTGATAGAAATTACTTATAAATAGAATTAAAGGGAGTAGTACATAAAGATCTACTGCTTCTCTTTTTAGTTTTCATCAACATTTTATAATCGTTTAGCAAAAAAACATTTTATAATCTCTCTTACATTTTTACAAATTTCTAACATGGGGGGCATCAAATTCCTCAAATCACACTTAACCAAACAAATACACACACACAAAAGTTAAAGAATTAGGTGCAATTTATAAATGGTATAAATTGTTTCCACTTTATTGAAGGCGTTTAGTTTAAGTAATCAAAAAAGTTAAATTAGCTTACTATGGAATCATGATTTCAACTTGTGAAACTGCTATTGATTATAATAATAAGGTTCATATTAGTTTGGGTAAGAGATAATAATTCCTTTATTTTAGAAAAAAATAAAATAATATTTGAGATACAAACTCCTGATTAAATTGTAGTTTGAGTGTGTGTTTGGTATCAAACTATTCAGGATATATTTGGATCTTAACTAGGTAAAATTGATTATGAAAAAATCAATTAACAAAATAAATTTTAATTATAACTAATTTTGTTAAAATGTAATGATGTTTGGATAATAGAATAAAGGAGAAGAATCTAAGGGTTATAGATTTTGAGGAGGAGGCAAATGGTATAATTTTATCCACAATACATGCTTTTACTATATAAATTAGTTATATCCTTCATTTTAGTTATATCCTTGATTTTGATTAATCTAGATTGGCTCAATTTACCAAAGCTCTTTCACACAAATATTTAATGTAGTTGCCAGATTCAAATCTAAGACCATTGCTTGTTGCACTGGTTTTTTTTTTTTTTCCTTGAAGAAAAGACAATTTATTACTAAAATTAGAAGTCCAGTATAAACAAAAGCTCAATTAAAAACGAATTGGGCCTGAACATAAAACAAAGCTTTAAAAAACAATAGAACAATTGAATTAAAAAGACTCTCAAAAACATATCTAAAGTGTTATCAGCTTGAAAAAACTCATTGCAGATCATAAGGAGAGCCATAGACCAACGACGCACCAATTGCATGGACAGACATAAAGAGTCATCTCCACTTAACAAGGAACCATAAAGGCACTAAAGTGAGAACCAAAGGTTCTCAAAATACAGGCTTAAAAGCCGAAGAGAAGCAACGATTTGCCAGCATACTACTAATTTGAGAACAAGTGAAGTTTAAATGAAATATTTATGTATTTATTTTTAAACTATAAATGTTTGTCCCGTCTAGCAATAATCCACAAACAGGATTTTAATTAAATTTTCAAGTCAATGCAAGTTTCAAACCGTAATGAATTAGATGTTTTCAACATAATGAAATGACCAACGCAATTCCATATCTCCCGAGTTTGAACAATTGATGATAAATTCTCATTTTTACAAAAACTCTATTTGCATTAATTGGGTATGAAAAGTAACTAGAATAGATGCGAACTAATAATAATAATAATAATAATAATAATAATAATAATAATAGGTTGTTAAGTAAGAAGAGTTACTATTAATTTTAGATTATATACATTGATACGTGATAAAGATACATACATCTAAAAGCTAACGCAAGGGGCATTTAGGATAGTCATTTTGCTTCTCTTCTTAATTGTAAAATTTTTCGTATGTGATTCGTATAGTTTACTAGTTCTCATTCAAAAACTGACACAAGGGGATAAATGAATGCTGGTTGAGCTGAGGAATTCAAAGCAATGCATTTTCTGAAAACAAAAGATAAAAGACAAGTTTTTTCTTTGTCTTTTCCTCTATATCTCAATCTCAATTATTGTGACAACAGTGAAAGACGAACTCTACTTAGTGGAAAAATATTGACTGCCTCCATGAGACATCCTCAATAATTTGCAAAATAAAATTCAGAAATCTTGCTATACATTCAGCTTAAGATCCAAAAGCCAAGCAACCGCGTGCCCCAGATAACATACTAAGCAACTCTTATGTACAAAATCAAGCCAAAATGAAAAAGCAAGGCCCGAAACCAAAATCATTAAATCACCACCCGTGCTAACTAACTCTGCTAATTTTTTTTTTTTTTTTTGATTTCCTAATGCCTAACGTTCATTGAAGCTGTGCGATGCTGCCTGCTTCACGAAACAGCGCCCTGTGACCATGTTGATGGCTTGAATTTTCCTGCTAGTAGGTTAGATGCTGCATGTGCAGAGATTTTCCTTCTTTTAGATTCCAGCTCCAGCCTTCTCTTTTCAGATGTGGAAGAGCCATATAAAAAGATGGATGCAGCATTGATTAATGCCCGCTTGTCCTTCCTGTTTGTCTCGAACTTGCTGAAAAACTTTACTTTTGCTGAAATGGCAGCATCTTGTACTGTGGTGACAAGCAGTTGTATGCCGAGGCCTCTTTTCCTGGAAGAAGCCTCTTATTCAGCAACTCCTTTGTTTTGATTCTGAGAAAATGAAAAACAGCATACAGATGTTACTGCAAGATAACATCATTGTATAGAAAAGAAACAGATGATTCCCGAAATGGGATGATAAGGTGAAGGCAAAAGATAGACAGAAGAAATGTCAAAGCAAAGTAAATACTCTAAGCAGCACGTAAAGCCTGATTAAGAGCATAGTCATCTGAGATAATCACTGGAGATGCACAAGCGCTGGTTAAGCTTCGTTCTTTTTCCTTCAAATCCACCTCCTGGTGTTCAAGGTGATAAAATGGATCTTGAAGCTTCTCTCTCTCTCTCTCTCTCTCTCTCTCTCTCTCTCTCTCTGTAGAACTTTTTTTTTTCGGTTTTGGGTGGAGGGGGTAGTAAAAGATAGTCAGATATGTAGACTTTCAATTAGTGGCTATTAAATGGCCAGGAAAAAGAATAACGGCTATTATTAGACAATTAAAAAAATGGACCAATGCTACAGACCAGTGAACTCAAAACTATTAATAAAATATGTTAAAATTCACCATAAAAAGAAGAAAAGGTGAATTTTTTTTTTTTTAAATCATAGGCAATAGCATATGTATACTGAAATATCTGCAAGTCAATATTCTGTTGACCAGAAAAAGCCAACAAGAGTCTTGCTGCATGGGAAGGGTAGACTTCATGCGTAAAATTAATCATAACATCACGTTTTAAAAGTGAAAATTCAATCAAGTCCTTCAAATGATGGGTGGGATGGACGGAATTGCAGTAGAGCTGCAGCATGAGATTCAAAAAGGCCTGCTGCATTTTGCAGCGTGAAGGTTGAATAATTTCAAGTTATTTCAGGGAGACGCCGGGGAAAAAAGAACATTGATTTTCCCCCCTTCAATTTACAGGAAGAGAAGTGAGAAAATGAAGAAAAAGTGGACTCGGAGATCACAAATTCAGAAACCCAACCAAAAAAAAAAAAAGTTTGTTTCGAAACTTGTAAACTCAAATTTACTTGAGTTACCATAAGTAGGACCTGCTATGTTTTCTTAACCTATACTCTTAAACTCATCCA